GTGATAGGAGATGGACAACATACAAGTTTAATTAATTATTATTATTATGGTTGGTCACCTAGTCAGCCAGATATTTAGATTGGATTTGGCATTTTTGTCCACCAATAGTGTTTTCCGAAATCATCTTGTCAGTTAGGAGCTGATTCTTTTATTCCTCTGCTGTTCGGGCAGTTTCCTTTTGGCTCAGGTGGTAAAAGTTTGTTTTCAATTAGATGCTGTTGGACTGCATCAGACACAATGCCAGTTTACAAACTGAAAGTTGTTGGTAAGCAGGTAATAGGCCTGAAGTTGCCTGGTGCTGCCCCAGGAAGGATTTGCCAGATGTTAGTCAATCTTCAGTGTCGCCTCCTTGCAGTATGCTGTTAAACTGCTTGGCAATGAGTGGATGTAGACCAGCCAGATGTTTCAACCAAAACCTATGCAATTCATCTTCACTTGCTGCCGACCAATTCTTGATCTTCCTTGCCCTTTTCTCTACTGTTTGTGCTGATATTACAAGAACTTTCATTTCAGCTTCTTTTCCCCCTTATCTACTTCCTTTATCCAAGCTGCATTCTTGTTATATTTCTTTGGGTTGTCCCATAGTTGCACCCAGAACTGCGTTGTTTTTTCTTGGTGGGATGTTGGCTGCTTCATTGCACTCTTCCACTGAAGAATGTGTAAAAATGTTTCTGATTTGGCTGAAATTGGAGAACCTGCCTCTAGTGCAATTCAAGCTTCAAATCCACTGAACTACATGGCTATGGCTATTATACCACTTTACAATGCCTTAGTAAGGCCATACTTGGAATACTGCATCCAGTTTTGGTCACCACGATGTAAAAAAGATGATGAGACTCTAGAAAGAGTACAGAGAAGAGCAACAAAGATGATTAGGGGACTGGAGGTCAAAGCATATAAGGAAAGGCTGCTGGAATTGGGTATGTCTAGTTTAATGAAGAGAAGGACGAGGGGGGACATGATAGCAGTGTTCCAATATCTCAGGGGCTGCCACAAAGAAGAGGGAGTCAAGCTATTTTCCAAGGCGCCCGAAGGCAGGACAAGAAGAAACATGGAAACTAATCAAGGAGAGAAGCAACCTAGAACTAAGGAGAAACTTCCTGACAGTTAGAACAATTAACCAATGGAACAACCTGCCTCCAGAAGCGGTGAATGCTCCAACACTGGAAGTTTTTAAGAAGAGACTGGACAGCCATTTGTCCGAAATAGTATAGGGTTTCCTGTCTGAGCAGGGGGTTGGACTAGATGACCTCCAAGGTCCCTTCCAACTATTATTATTATTGTTGTTGTTGTTGTTGTTGTTGTTATTATTATTATTATTATTATTATTATTATTTGTTACTATGTTACTTCCAGCGCTTCTTTGATCTTCCTTGTTTCTAAGTAATATTTCTTGATCAGGTACTTTTTGGTCTTCTTGTTCTTCAGCTTTTATTTGTTCTAGCTTGCTTGGTTCTAATCTTAGCATGCTAATCTTTTTTTCCAACCTGATCTCCCATTTTTCCTTGTTTGCTGATTTTGTTTCCAAGATCTTCAGTTATGACTGCAGCTATGCTGTACATCAGTTTTGTTTCTTGTAGTGAGCTGGTGTTTATATTTGATATTACATTATTGGCATATTTTAAGGCTTATGCTAGCTGTTTTTTTGGAACAAATTTCAATGCAGGCAACTTTATTATTTTGCGTGTGTGTTTGCTATTCTAGATCTCAGCTATTTTTGTTTTAGTTCAGCTATTTTTGTTTTTGGTTAGAGGGCTTTTTTTTTCTTTCTAAGAAAGCAGAGGAGAGGATGCCTCGTTTGGGAATGAAAACTATTCAGCGGACTATGCTGACTTCCTCTACTGCCACCCTCACTTTCCCCAGCTGAGTTACTTTGATTTTTTTTTTTTTTGCCCTGAGTAGACTTTTGCAATTTTTTCAGTTCTGCTTGTTGTACTTTCCAAAACTGATGCATTCTTTCCAATATCTTCTTCTCATTGGATTTGATTTGTAGTAACAGACAGTGCTGGGATTCAAATAATTTAACAACCGGTTCTCTGCAGAATTCCCCCCCTCTGCACAAAGTGCTCCACCGCTGCTGCTTCCCCCCAACCCAACCCGACAGAGCACTCCACTGCCACCACTGCTTCCCCCCAGGATAGATAGCTCTGCTACTGCCGCTGCTTCCCCTCAACCCATCCCGGACGGAGCACTCCACTGCCGCCGCCTCTTCCACCCCAGGATGGAGAGCTCTGCCACCGCTGCTGCTTCCACCCAACCCCCCCAATGGAGCGCCTCCATCTGAGTTTAAGAAAGCGGAGGCACAGCAGCGGGATTCCTCTCAATAAGGCGGGCACAAACAAGTGAGCAGTGCACCCAGGTCTTATTGTTTGAGAGCAATCACACTACTGCGCCTCCGCTTTCTTCAACTCAGCTCCGTCTGAGGCACCCAAGCTTCTGGCAGCCACTTGAGTGGGGAGGACAACGAGGAGGAGAAGAGCGGTGAGGTTTTCTGCCAGCCAGCTGTTCAGGCAAGGAGTAGGTTGGGCGATGGTGGCTGGCTGAAGAGGGGGGATCATGGCCACTCAGGGGGGATCTGCCAAACCTCATGGCAGCGGCATTGGCGGGTGCGACACAGTTCGGCCAAAAGTGGCTGCAAAACAAGTGAGGCGACGTGGGACAGACCCCCCCTCACCTGCCCACCCAGCCTTTTCCCTTTCACTCTCCTTCTGAGCCCTCTTCGCAGTTCTGCCCACACAGCCACTGAAGCGGCAGATGTCACATTTCTCTGCCGCTACAGAGCTGGAGAGCTTGCCCCACCCACCACTGCCCAGATGCCCTCGCTTCCCAAACCATTTCTTTTCTAATCTTCTTTCCAGCTCCGACGCAATCCTCTGCCACTTCCTCGGCCGCCGTGTGCAGTCCACGAATAAAAGAAGTTTGTGGGACTAAAAAGAAAAAATTCAATCAATCAATTCCAACTTCTCACGAAAAAAAAAAAGATCTCGCAAAGTTGGAATTGATTGATTGAACTTTTTTTTTGTCCCACACACTTCTTTTGTTTATGGGACTGCCCAGGGCGGCAGAGGAGTGTGTCAGAGCTGGAGAGCTTGACCCATCCACCCCCGCCCAGATGCCCTCCCTTCCCAAAGCACTTCTATGCTAACCTTGTCCCACAAATAAAAGAAGTTTGCCAAAGTGGATCCTGGGCTGCAATGGAGAGACCGGAAGTGGAGCAGCCAGCATGAGGGAAGGAGGAGCGGGGAGAAGAAAGAGGAAAAGTGGCTAAGTGAGAAGAAGCACCAAAAACAGTGGGGTCTGTGTGCCTGCCTGCCACATGCTCTCCCCGTGTTAGCCATGCTCTCCATGGCTAACCCGGGGGGGTTGCAGTGGCAGGGTTTGGGGGATGGTGAATCCCCATTCATGGCGTGCCCACCAACCAATCGCCATGCCGTCTCTTGGGAGGGCACTGAAAAAGTGGAGTCTGTGTGCGCATTCACCCTGTTTCTGCCATGCTCTCCATGGCGCGCTGCAGCTGATCCGAGGAGTGAAGAGCATGACTGATGCGGGGCAAGCATGTTGTAGGCACACATATAGACTCCACTGTTTTCGGCAGTGCTTCGGTGCCTGGCTGGCCGGGATGGCTCTGCTCCTCACTCGGCCTCTTTTCCTCTTTCTTCTCCTGCTCCTCCTTCCCTCGCACCAGCTGCTCCATTTCCAGTCTCTCCATTGCAGCCCGGGATCCACTTTGGCAGCAGCAGGGTTTGGGGATGATGAATCCCCATTCATGGTGTGTCCGCCGACCAATCGCCATGCCACCTTTCGGGAGGGCACTGCCTTGTGCTCGCTCCGCGTCTGCCATGCTCTCCACGGCACGCTGCAGCTGACCCGAGGTGGCTGGCCAGGCACCGAAGTGCCACTGAAAACAGCAGAGTGTGTGTGCACATCTCCTACACACTTACCCATCAGCCATGCTGTCCACACCTCGGATCAACTGTAGCGTGCTGTGGAGAGCATGGCGGATGCGGGGTGAGTACGAGGCAGGTGCGCACATGAACTCCACTTTTTTCAAGTGCCATTTTAACAACTGGTTCGCCAAACTCAAGAGAAAGTAGGTAATGGTTCTGCCGAACTGGTGCGAACCGGCTGAATCCCACCTCTGGTAACAGATCTTTTTTGTTGTTTTGTTTTCAATCTTCACACATTATTATTGTGGAACAATAGAAACTTCCATGGTAAAATTTCTGACAATGCCCCAATTTCTGTCCTTCCTTATCATCCTGTCTGTCTATCCTATCATACGTCACAGGGGTCCCCAACCCCCATCCCTGGCCTGTTAGGAACTGGGCCGCCCAAGTGAACGAAGCATCATTTGTGCATGTGTGGGATCTAGGTAGCATGTGAAACCACACCCCCTGGTCCATGGAAAACTATTTTTTCATGCAGCTGGTCCCTGATGCCCAAAAGGTTGGGGACTGCTGATCTATCATGTCTGTCTGTCCTATCATCTATCATCTAGCAAAGCTACTAGCTGGATTAGAAATTTTAGCTGCCTTCTGAATATTCTGCATGTATCTGTAGAAAAAAGAGAAATTTGCCAGGAGAGAAATAATTTTTGACATCCCATGTAACATCTGGCTATAAGCCAAGTGTGGAATGGGTTCTTAATTATCAATCTACAACAATGGACATTTTTATAGTGCTTCCAGACATGTTTTGGCTTCAAAAATCAGACTCATGATGACAATTAACTAGCTATTTCGTGCCAGTAACTTTTGTTCTGAAATAAGTATAGATTTAGAAGGAGCTCTTGCTTAAAACTGTGCTTTATGTGAATTGACGTCAATGACTGAAGTCTCATTTCTTCGAAACTGAATCATCTAATCATCTAATCATGCCTTGAGACAGAGCTACTCTATTGAAGAGAGCTTAACGAGGGTTGTGCCACTCTTAGTTGATCTCATTAGGCTGTACCTGGAACCTGCTTCAGACAGTCACTGGCTATAATACCTTTGAGGTGATGGCATTACTCTTGACACCTAAGAGCCTATTTTGATCACTGGGACAAATGGCCAGAGTTGGATAAGGTACTTCTCATGCTATCCCTATATCTAGATCTCATTTGGCTTATTGTTATTCAAACAAGTCTTTATATCGTCTGTCTGTCTGTCTGACTCTCTCATGTTTCCATTTCTGAAAGATGCAGCTTAGGTAAAAATAAGGTCTTCCTATTCTCACGTGCCTGTTAGCATTTACTGATAGCTGGGCTAAATGCTCTGGATAGCAAGATGGGTGGCATATAAATTTAATAAATAAATTAACTTACACTCTGCGTCTAAGATAATGTTATAAGCATTTTACTTTTTCAGTGAAAAGCTTTGCCACCTAATTACTCTGCATATGCCCAGAAGCACGTACTCTATTCTTCAGTATGTTTCTACCCCAAATGGAAAAGAAAGATTTAAAAAGCCATCTCCTGTATCCATTTTCCAGTCTGATAAGCAGGGAAGCGGAACTGGTGACCTGCAGTTTATTTATCCCTGTGCTGGCTGTAGTTGCTGAGCATTGTAGCTCAGCAAACAACTACAGGATCACAGATTTCCACTGCTGTTATAGAAGGCCAAAACAGATTTGTTGCTGGGTGAGACACAACAGCAGCTGACTATGTCAATATTAGGTATGAAATGAGAAAAAAGTTTGGAAAATATTTAATGTGGGCTGCCCTTCACGAATACAGAGAGGTCATATTTGGAAACTGAGATTTACTTATGTTGCAGTGACGATGAGTTCATATAACGGCACGATTATAATTTATGAAAAAGGCATCCATCCTTACAATCAAATGCTGGGTACATAATTGTCCATTGAATTGTCCATGCTGAAAAAGCCTCATGCTTTTGGGTTTGTTCAAAGGCGTGTGATAGAAAAACACTTGTGACCGATTTGATGAGATTGTGTTAGCATAATACTAAGCCTTTTATTTTTTATTTTTTAGAAAAAAATAAAAACTGTAATTGTGTGTTTTTCTCATTAGGTTTACCTCTCCTAGTCCAAAGGACAATTGCAAGGACAATTGTTCTTCAAGAAATAGTTGGAAAAGGTCGATTTGGTGAAGTCTGGCGTGGAAAATGGTGTGGAGAGGATGTTGCTGTGAAGATCTTTTCCTCAAGAGATGAAAGGTCTTGGTTTCGTGAAGCAGAAATCTACCAGACAATCATGCTGAGACATGAAAATGTCTTGGGTTTTATTGCTGCTGATAACAAGGGTATCGTACTTCCAAACAATTTTGCAATGCTTGTCTTGGGTTGGATTAGACCAGTGAAATTATTTTTCTATTTTTTTAAAAAAAGTTTTTTGTGGAAAGAGGAAAAAAAACCTGATGCATCTTACCTCTGTTTTGGAAAGCTTAGCTCGGCGATGGCAAACTTTAGAGAATTCGCTTCTGTTGTCTCTGTAGCTTCTGAAAACTGTGTGAAAATATGTCTCATTCTTGGGCAATTTTGGGAGGCTCTGGAGACTGCACAAGAGCACACCCCAGCCTTCTGCAAATCTCACAAGAATGGGATTTGCAATTGAAAATAGTTGTTGTTGGATGTTGGTGAACACTGGCGTGTCACCCAAAGTGCCGGGGCATGTCAGCTCTGATAACATGGGTCCTAAGTTCACCATCACTGGCTTTGTTTATCATGCTTTGGATCTGGAAAATAGAGGAAAGATATATTCTGTAGTTGTGCTGTGAGTAAGCACTACTCCCATATCTACTCCTCATGGACAACAAAGATGATCAGTGGCCTTTGGGGATCATATACACATATATGAAATAAATATACTGTGTGTATGTGTATATGATGTGTGTGTGTGTGTATGTGTGTGTGTGTGTATTTGATGTAAATATTATAGCCTCTAAGTATCCTATTCCTTTTCATTCCCTTAGATTTCTAAGGAGTTGATGAAACAGGTAGGACAACATCTGAAAACAGATTAAGTAAAGATTAAGGCCTCACAAATGTGGAGACAGCAAGGAATTACTATAATGCTGTTGTGTCCACATAGAGATGGTCGCTGCTTTTTTTCCATGCTGTGAGACATTTCCTTGATGGAGAAGGAGAGGGAGTGAGAATAATCAGTGGCCAGCTATGAGCACTTTGAATAAACCTTTACAGATAAAATCATTTGTGTTGTGATCTGGGCTTTAGTGTTGGGGCAGACCATAAGAAGGACCTTTAATTGGTCCTCTTACTTTGAGTTCTTCTAGCTTGTAGATGTAAC